GGCAGGACCACTGCACACAATGATTATCGATCCAATGTTTGTTTCCTGTGCTAGAGTATGATTTCCATGAGGTCAAGAATCTTGTTTATTGTATTTTTCCTGCAAGTGAAGTATGTGACGGGCAGAGTAGGCAGGTATGGCAGGTTAAATAATGCACACCCCAAGATGTCCAGGTCCACATTATCTATCTGGCAGACAGAATCATGACCCCCAAAATGCCCACACTGTAATCCCCATGTGGGAGACAGAATAATGACCCCAAAGATGTCCATGTCCTAATCCCATGTGGTAGACAGAGCAATGGCCCCAAAGATGTCCACATCCTAATCCTCATGTGGGAGACAGAATAATGGCCCTGAGGATGTCCACATCCTGATCCCCATGTGGTAGACAAAATGACCCCAAAGATGTCCATGTCCTAATCCCATGTGGTAGACAGAGCAATGGCCCCAAAGATGTCCACATCCTAATCCTCATGTGGGAGACAGAATAATGGCCCTGAGGATGTCCACATCCTGATCCCCATGTGGTAGACAAAATAATGGCCCCAAAGATGTCCACATCCTAATCCTCATGTGGGAGACAGAATAATGGACCTGAAGATGTCCACATCCTGATCCCCATGTGGTAGACAAAATAATGGCCCCAAAGATGTCCACATCCTAAATCCCATGTGCAACACAGAGTAACAGCCCCAGAGATGTTCATAAGCTAATCCCCATGTGGGAGACAGAATAATGGCCCCAAAGATGTCCACATCCTAATCTCATGTGGTAGACAGGATAATGGCCCCAAAGGCGCCCACAACCTATTCCCAATTTGGTAGAGTAATAACTGAAAACATGAAAAAATGTCCATGTCCTCATGTCTGGAACACATGAAAATGTGACTGTCACGGCAAAAAGGCCTTTGCAGATGTGATTCAGTGGAAGATCCTGAGATGAGGCGATGATCTGAGATGATCCTGACGGGCCCCAAATCATCACAACGCTTCTTCTACAAGGCAGGCAGAAGAACAAGAGTAAGTGAAGGAGATTAAAAAAAGAGAAGGCAAGATGAGAGAAAGAGAGAGAAGGGAAGAGAGGGAGAGAGAGAGAACAAGAGAGAGAGAGATTCAAAGGTGTTTCACTGCTGGCTTTGTTGTTGTTGTTCTTCTTGTTGTTTTGAAATGGAGTTTCGCTCTTGTCGCCCAGGCTGGAGTGCAGTGGCACGGTCTCAGCTCACTGCAACCTCCGCCTCCCAGGTTCAAGCGATTCCCCTGCCTTAGCCTCCCGAGTAGCTGGGATTACAGGCATGCGTCACCACGCCCAGCTAATTTTGTAATTTTAGTAGAGACGGGGTTTCACTATGCTGTCCAGGTTGGTCTCAAACTCCTGACCTCACATGATCCAACTGCCCCGGCCTCCCAAAGTGCTGAGGTTACAGGCGTGAGCCACTATCATTGTTGGCTTTAAGGTCAGGTGGGAGGCCATGGGTGAAGAAATGCTGACAGTCTTCTAAAAACTGGAGAAGGAAATATTCTCCTGTAGAACCGGTGTCAGCCATGGGCTCAGGAACTCCACACTGGCTTCCTGCCTTGAGGTGCCTCTGAAGCATTGAGCAAAGGTAAAAAGTCTTAGCATGCAAGAAAGATCTAGATAAATCTAGGAAGAAGTAAACCCTATATGTGCATGAGATTCTCTACAGAAGAGATAGGGTACAAAGCCAATCCAACAACAAGACTCTTTTGATTCAAATCCTACCCTGTCCCAGTTTCCAGAATATCTTTCTTTCTGAGAGCCCTGTGTGCCTTGTTTAAAATCTGTTGAGAAAAGGAACAGAGGAGCATCCTAGGAATGCAACAGCCATTTCAAAAGGTAAACGTGGTGGTTGAGTGATGGAGTATACGCTGGTGAGCCTGTGTCAGCTGGTGTTAGCCTGTATCCACTGTCACAGTGGTGGTTGAGTGATGGAGTATACGCTGGTGAGGCTGTGTCAGCTGGTGTTAGCCTGTATCCACTGTCACAGTGGTGGTTGAGTGATGGAGAATACGCTGGTGAGGCTGGTGTTAGCCTGTATCCACTGTCACAGTGGTGGCTGAGTGATGGAGTATACGCTGGTGAGCCTGTGTCAGCTGTTGTTAGCCTGTATCCACTGTCACAGTGGTGGTTGAGTGATGGAGAATACGCTGGTGAGGCTGTGTCAGCTGGTGTTAGCCTGTATCCACTGTCACAGTGGTGGCTGAGTGATGGAGTATACGCTGGTGAGCCTGTGCCAGCTGGTGTTAGCCTGTATCCACTGTCACAGTGGTGGTTGAGTGATGGAGAATACGCTGGTGAGGCTGTGTCAGCTGGTGTTAGCCTGTATCCACTGTCACAGTGGTGGTTGAGTGATGGAGAATACGCTGGTGAGGCTGGTGTTAGCCTGTATCCACTGTCACAGTGGTGGTTGAGTGATGGAGTATACGCTGGTGAGCCTGTGTCAGCTGGTGTTAGCCTGTATCCACTGTCACAGATGTGGTTCATATACTCATTGCTCAGTAAAATTCTCTTCCCCCCAGAAAAGAGTAAGATTCCGCTGGAGAAACATATCATATCTGACATTCCTAATTTTTTTTTTTTTTTTTGAGATGGAGTCTTGCTCTGTTGCCCAGGCTGGAGTGCAATGGCATGATCTCGGCTCACTGCAGCCTCCACCTCCCGGGTTCAAGCGATTCTCCTGCCTCAGCCTCCTGAGTAGCTGGGACTCCAAGCACCCGCCACCACGCCCGGCTAATTTTTATATTTTTAGTAGAGACGGAGTTTCACTATGTTGTCCAAGCTGGTCTTGAACTCCTGACCTTGTGATCCATCTGCCTCGGCCTCCTAAAGTGCTGGGATGACAGGTGTGAGCTGCCGCACCCGGCCTGAGATTCCTAGTTTTTTCTGCTTACTGGTGGATACAAGGCCATAGCAAATGGATGGAAGTAGCTGCAGAAAAGTCCCTAAGAGGACAGACATTTCTGTTTTTCTGTGTCTCTGCACAGGGCACCATGTCAGTCATGCATGTCCATTTCCAACTGCTCTGTGATAAACTGCTCCCATTACTAATGAGTAAGAATGTTACATGCAATGAAGAAATGAGACGTTGGGTTGCACAGGATCTCCACGGTCCCTCTAAGTGGTCTCCACATTTGCTGACTTATAATGCTACAATTCTAATCACTTAAAATACGGATGGGGCTTCAGCAAAGGAAGTCCACACCCAGTGCTGAGACAGAAGATTCCAAATGGGTGTTGACTGGGAAATCATTGACTCCTGCATAGAAACTTAAGATCCTACCAGGATGGCAAATCTGAAAAGTGTTATTAACCTCCAACGAGAAGACACACAAAGTTAAAATCATTCCGGACCTTCCAACAACAGCCACTAGCATTGAAAATACGATATTTCTTACCAGGCTAAGTACATGGAAATGGTGTTGTCTGTAGCTATTTGAGTGGCACTCACACATCCCAGCTATGTCTGCACATATTTTTATGCATACACAGACATCATACATCAAATACATATACAAATACACATGCACTCACACATCACAGCTATGTCTGCACATATTTTTATGCATAAATTGGCGTCACACTCTATGTATAGTTTTATATCCCATGCTTCTCCTTTAAACTGTAGCATAATGATTTCCAATTAAACAAGTGGGTTGAGGGGAAGCGTGGATATCTCATCCACTTTCCTATCCTCCGATCCCATTAATGTTGCAGAAAAACACAAAACACATCAAGACAAAGAGGAAAAAAAAATTAGATGGAAACTACCACATCTTGGCAGCTGGAAACGGACAGGTGTTATGACTTGAGCACAGAGAATAATGTTTTCTCCCTCCTTGCAGACACGTCCATATCCTAATGTCCAGAATTAATGACAACAGTACCTCAGAGAGCAAAAGGGGTTTTGCAGAATTAAGAATCTTTAATGGTCTAGGTGGGAAATGGAGTAATTACACTGGGTAATCCCAAGACCCTTTTGGTGGTTTTTTTGTCTGCCATCTAAAGTATCAATAACTTGATAAATATTTCATATATTTGAAAGGAAGGTGCTGTCTTGACGGGCTCACTGTTTGACTTATGTCTGTCCTATCCACTGTATTCATGGCACTATTTATTTCCTCTCTAAATTTCCATCTGGTCTCCCTCTGTGAAAGTGAGGTGTTAAATTCTACTAGCACACATGTTTTTCGGTGTATTTCTGAGAACTTCAGTTCTATGTATTTACTTAGTGTGGAGATGTCAATAACTGTACCTCCTCAGTGTGGAGGGTTGTTAACTTTTATAAAAAATAAAATGGACTGTAGCAGGGGATGAGAGTAACGGGCATCAGTACTGCGAGGAGAAATATTAAGTGTTGCAATGACGTTAAGAGCTCAGCGTGGTGCAAAGAAGGGCTCAAGGTTTGCAATGACGTTAAGAGCTCAGTGTGGCTCAAAGAAGGGCTCAAGGTTTGCAATGACATCAAGAGCTCAGCGAGGCTCAAACAAGGGCTCAGGATCAAGGGTGGTTTGTGTCGAAGACTGGCAGACGGGCAGACTGAAGACGGGGAAGGGGAGATATTGACTCCACCCGTCTGGGTAAGGATGTTGAACGGGGAGTATAATCAAGAGATAAACGAGAATGAGCTTCTAGAGCCCAAATCATGAGTCTCAGGGGAGTGTGGTGATGATTTTGCAAGACAACATTTGGGGAAACACCAACCCTTAGCGTGTGCGTAATACACTTTAGTCAAAGTGGACAAGTGAACGTGTCAGCTCCATACAACATGCTATCCGGTGACCATTATTTAAAAGTAACATACTAACAAGAATGATGGTCCTCCAAAGCCATCTGTGACACGAAGCAGTGACTACAAATAGCAGGTCTGTGCAATAATTTCCATGGATATCCTGTTTTGCTCAGACACTTCTGTCACATGAAAGCTAGAGCTCCCGTCCTTCCAATTAACCCCTGCCTTGCAGCAAGTTCACCAGGACTCACCATTGTTGACCAGAACATGGAGAGGAATCTTCTTCATCTTGAACTTCCGGACAAACTCCCGGATGGACATCATGGAAGCCAGGTCACAGAATAAAAATTCCACTGGAAAAGGACAACAACAAATGCCTGGTTACCTTCCAACCTAGTTCAGGGATTAGGAAAATTTCTAAACAGGTCCATTTCAATTTCACCTGGGAAGTCACACTTTTCTTTTTGAGACAGAGTCTCGCTCTGTTGCCAGACTGGAGTGCAGTGGCGTGATCTCAGCTCACTGCAGCCTCTGCCTCCCGGGTTCCAGCGATTCTCCTGCCTCAGCCTCCCGGGTAGCTGGGATTACAGGCACATGCTACCACATCTGGCTAATTTTCATATTTTTGTATTTTTGTATTTTTTTTTTTTGGAGATGGAGTCTTGCTCTGTCGCCCAGACTGGAGTGCAGTGGCTGGATCTCAGCTCACTGATTTTTTTATTTTTATTTTTTCAGTAGAGACAGTGTCTCACCATGTTGGCCAGGCTGGTCTCGAACTCTTGACCTCAAGTGATCCGCCCACCTGGGCCTCCCGAAGTGCTGGGATGTCAGGCGTGAGCCACCGTGCCCAACCTGGGGTTTTTTATAAGAAGGAGACAGAGGGATGCTTGAGACAGATGAGAGAAAATGATGATAAGACAGAGGCAGAGACTGGAATGATGCAGCCACAAGCCCTGGGATGTCTGGAACCCTCAGGAGCTGGGAAAGGCCAAAAGGATCGTGCCCTAGAGCGTCCCGACAGAGCTCAGCCCAGAGACCCTGGATTTCACCTCTTGTCCTCCAGACCTGGGAGAAGATAGATTTCTATTCTGCAAGTTCCTCAGTTTTGGGTTTTTTTTTTTTTAAGTTCAATATGATTTTATTTAAAAATGTGTACAGTTGAAGGAGGGATCTGGTCTTTTATTTAAAAAAAAAAAAAAAAAGGTTTTCACAGGATATATTTGGCCATTTTAGCTCTGTAGCGAATAATAACAGAAAAGGAAGGTTCTGTTCAAGGTCCTCACTCCGGCACACTCAGCCAGGTGCTTGGCTAGATGACACATTTCCTGGTCTGAAGCTGACGGCCAATCCTCTCACCCAGGTGGAACACCCGTTCTCCTCCAGGCGCGCGCACACGCACACGCACACGCGCGCACACGCGTGCACACGCGTGCGCACACACGCGCGCACACACACGCACACGCGCGCACACACACGCACACACACGCGCACGCGCACACACACACGCGCGCACACACACACATGCGTGCACACACGCACGCGCACACACGCGCGCACACACACGCGCGTGCACACACACACACACACGAGGTCTTATTTTCACTGCTCTACACAGCGCCCTGAGAATCTTTAATTTTAAAGTCGGGAAAAACGTGGAAGGATTCCTTAACGCATTGTCTGCGACAAAACCAACTACCTTTTAACTCCTAACAATTGCAAGTATAAAGGACTTGAAATTGACAAGGCGCTCCATTTAATAGAACGAGTCAAATGCTGAACAATTAGGTCAAGTCACAGGCTTGAATTTTTTTTTTTTTTTTTTGAGGCGGAGTCTCGCTCTGCCGCCCAGGCTGGAGTACAGTGGCCGGATCTCAGCTCACTGCAAGCTCCGCCTCCCGGGTTCCCGCCATTCTCCTGCCTCAGCCTCCCAAGTAGCTGGGACTACAGGCGCCACCACCTCGCCCGGCTAGTTTTTTGTATTTTTAGTAGAGACGGGGTTTCACCGTGTTAGCCAGGATGGTCTCGATCTCCTGACCTCGTGATCCGCCCGTCTCGGCCTCCCAAAGTGCTGGGATTACAGGCTTGAGCCACTGCGCCCGGCCAGGCTTGAATATTTTTAAATGTCACTTAAAACTTATTGAGAGAAGAGAAGATGTGCTTTTTACAGTAACCCTAAGGAACTCACACAGAAGAAAAATCTTAACCCTACTGGAGTGTAAATCCTTGGCAACAAATGCCTCTGTCACTGTGACTCTGACAGTGAGACGGTATCATATGAAGAGTGGAGACTCATGCAGCTGCTATGTCTGATGCCCCCTTTCGGCACCTAGCGTGGTGAATGACACTCACACAGCCTGTAGCCCTCACACCACAGCCTCCAATGGAGAAAGCGATTCTACAATTCTAAGCATTGCTCTTGACACCGCAAATAACTCATCCAACTTTTCTTTTATTTGCAACTCAGTGACAGACGGCAAACCCTGAGTCTCATGAAGGTAACCTCATCTGGCCAGGTGTGGTGGCGGGCCCCTGTCATCCCAGCACTTTGGGAGGCTGAGGCGGGCGGATCATCTGAGGTCGGGAGTTCAAGACCAGCCTGGCCAACGTGGCGAAACCCCCGTCTCTACTAAAAATACAAAAATTGGCCGGGCATGGTGGTGGGTGCCTGTAATCCCAGCGACTCAGGAGGCCGAGGCAGGAGAATTGTCTGAACCCGGGAGGTGGAGGTTGCAGTGCACCGAGATTGCGCCGCTGCACTCCAGCCTGAGCAACAAGGCAAGATTATGTCTCAGAGAAAAAAAAAAAAAAAAAAGATAACTTCATCCACAGAAGAATTTCTAACATCTAAAGGGGTTTCCTGAGGGCAAGTCAGAAATCCAGATTTCTGAAATTAATGCTACCCAAGAGATGAAGTCAGCTGGAAAGAGAAGGAGGCACGTGTTGATAAATAGGGATCAAGATGGAAAAAAAATTCCTTTTGTTTGAGTTCTGGCAAATGTCCTGCTTTGGAGGAACTGAATGGCCCCTTCCTTTCTTCTTTGCGATAGCGAGAGAGCATTGTTACGGAATGAACTGTACCCCCCTAAAAACCCTTTTGTCTGTAACTCTGGCAAACCTCCCTGGTTTGGAGGAATGGAATAGCACCTTCATTTTTTCTTTGCAATAGATACAGGACATCCTTATAGACTGAACCGCGCCCTCCCTCACTCATCATAACCCTGAAACTTCCATGATGACTTTATTTGCAGACAGGGCCTGTAGGAGCTCATAAGGGTGAGGCCCTCATCCAGTAGGACTGGTGTCCTTACAATCAGAGAAACAGACGCCAGGTGTGATGGTTACTACCGAGCGTCAACCTGATTGGATTGCAGGATGCAACGTTTTGATCCTGGGTGTGCCTGGGGGGTGCTGACAAAGAAGCTGAACATTTGAGTCAGTGGGCTGGGAAAGGCAGACCCCACCCTTCGTCGGGATGGACACCATCTTATCAGCTGCCAGCACGGCCAGAATAAAAAGCAGGCAAAAGAATGTGGCAAGGTTAGACTGGCTTAGCCTCCCAGCTTACAGCTTTCTCCCCTGCTGGAGGCTTCCTGCCCTCAAAAATTGGACTCCAAGTTCTTCAGCTTTAGGCCTCGGGCTGGCTTCCACGCTCCTCAGCTTGCAGACAGCGTATCGTAGGACCTTGTGATCCTGTGAGTTAATGCTGAATAAACCCCCCTTTATATATAGCTATTGATCCTGTTAGTTCTAGCCCTCTAGAGAACCCTGGCCTATAATACAGGGTGCGTCCCTCACCCCTACGTCTATCACCCTGCTGCCTCACTTGATAGGAAAGCAGAAGGAGCCCCTTTTTAATGTTTAATTTTATTAAGTATGCAATTACCCACTGCCCAAACCCATGTTGATTTCAAAAACTGTCCCTTTAAAGCATGTGGGCAGGGTGACAATTCATAGCAGGTGACAAAAATGTTTTATAAATAATATCCATGGAAACAGAAGGTGTCACCGTCTGCAGAATGCAGCCCAAATATTCAGAAGATTTGTATCACTCTAAGTTCTTGTGCTAGTAAGAAATAAAAAACCAGGCCGGGCACGATGGCTCACGCCTGTCATCCCAGGACTTTGGGAGGCTGAGGCAGGCAGATCACCTGAGGTCAGGAGTTTGAGACCAGCCTGGTCAACATGGCAAAACCCTGCCTCTACTAAAAATATAAAAATCAGCCAGGTGTGGTGGTGCATGCCTGTAATCCCAGCTACTTGAGAGACTGAGGCCAGGGAATCGCTCGAACCTGGGAGGCGGAGGTTGCAGTGAGCCAAGATCACACCACTGCACTCCAGCCTGGCGACAGTGCCAGACACCATCTCAAAAAAAAAAAAAAAAAAAAAAAAAGCTGGGTAAATACCTGAATCATTAGATATTAGCCTTTCTTTGCTGAGCCTTGCACATTTCCACGAGGTGTGTCTCTGGAAGCAGGTTAGGAGACTACCAGACCGTGCGCAAACACAGATGCAGGTTTGGTCTTATGGCTACAGGGAGCAGAGATGAGAGTGACGGGCCACGACGTGCCATGCTGCGCGTTCTGGTCTCTGTATGATCACGGCGGGCTGCACTGCAGGAGCATGCCAGGTCTTCTCACCTAGTTCTTTGTTGTTGTTTGAGATGGACTCACACCCTGTAGCTCAGGCTGGAGTGCGGTGGTGCGATCTCGGCTCACTGCAACCTCCGTCTCCCGGGTGCAAGCGATTCTCCTGCCTCAGCCTCCTGAGTAGCTGGGACTACAGGTACATGCCACCATGCCCCGCTAATCTGTGGGTTTTTAGTAGAGACGCTTTCACCATGTTGCCCAGGCTGGTCTCGAACTCCTGACCTTGTGATCTGCCCGCCTCGGCCTTCCAAAGTGCTGGGACTACAGGTGTGAACCACCTCGCCCAGCCTCATCTAGTTCTTGAGAACATACTCAGATCCACCCCTGGGGTCCCAGGTCCCCAGAACAGAGGTGGTCATGGCTCCCATATCACAAGAACTGGCGCTTTCTGCAGCACATATCTCAGGTGGAGACACAGTGATCAGGTTTTGTTGTATCGTGGCTGATCTAGGACACTTTAAGTCCCACAACACCCAAGAGTCAGCCAAACGTGGCAGCCAGAAGTCCACATTTTGAAATATACACTTTAACCTTCTCTTGGAAGGCAGGTTTTCAGGTAATAGAACAGCTTCCTCATCATGGAGAATGAAGCCCATCTGTGTCCAGTCACCAGGCCATCAAGGAAAAGGAAATATGCACTTCCAACATTTTCCTTAGAGAAATACTGGATGGACAGGTGCAGCGGCTCACACCTGCTATCCCAGCAC